TTTTAATTTCCTCAGCTTTCTTTTAAAAGTATTTTGGCCCCTATTAGCATGAGATATGTAATGAATTAGTGTGGTAAGCTTTCAAAGTACAACACAACTCGCCACTTGCTCAATTATGTCTACATAATGGGACTGCTTTCAACGTAAAAATTAAGTTCCCAACCAGAGAGAAAACAAAACCTTCAATTATACATTAAAATAGGAAAACCGATCTAGTTTATTTAAGTGAAAGTATTAAATTACATGAAAAGATTGATAGCGTTGCGGCGCAAATTCACTTCAATCGGGTGGGCCTCAAAGTAGTCGTTGTCAATCCAATAAAACTCGTTCTATAACAATGAACATATATGTACATATAAATTTTGAGTAGCAGAGAAAGAATTTAAAGTGAACAAACGAATTAACAGAAAAAACCCCAATATACTATATAAGTAAAGATAGAATTAAGTACAAAAAACCACTGATAATGATTACACAAATCGATACATAGAACAAGTCACAGTATCCGAGACCACGTTAGTTATAAGAGGTGATAACGAAAAACATGTAAATGGCGGACCTTCATCAAATTACATGTTAGCTGCCAACAGTTGAGTTTGAAAAATTTAGATATTTAAACAAACGGAACAATAAGATACAAGTTTTTCCCTTTTTTCCTCTTTCCAAATTTATTTCACTGGATTATACTCTTTAAATAACATCTCCAAACCCTAATCTTCCCGATTACTGCTTATACTCTTATTACCTCTACCACTACGGGATTTGAATCGACAACTGCATCTCTGTGCTAATGTGGTGTGGCAACTCGAACTGATGTACGTACGTACGAAGTTCTACGTTGTTACTGAGTGACTGACTGACTTTTAACAATTACCAAATTATCATTCGATTGTGTTTAATTTGAGTCGAACAATTAAAAAACCTCGTTTTTAAAATCTCAGAAGCTAAATTAATTCGCTTGTCAGTTTAGAAATTTAGATAACCAACAACTCGGACTAATTTGATGCCTTGATTTTTCATAACTTTCCAAACTCTATTACTAGAATTAAATCACTAAGAAATATTCACCAGTATATAATCTCCGCTTGTCTCTTAATCAACAAAAACGCTGAGAGTTTAGCACAAGGCTCCTACTGTTAAGACAAATGAACAAGCAAATATTGTAAACAAACACTCATGAAACAATATAAAGATATGGTTTAACTTGATAACAGTTTGATAATAGAGAAACGAAAAAAGCTCACCTCAGTTTGACCAGGAAACAAACGCAATTTTTCACCTCCTAATAACTTTCTTATCTCTACGACTGACCCTTCCCACGTTCCTTTATCACCTCACGCCGCTAATGCAAACGATTCGGTCTCCTGAAAACACGCTCTACTAAACCTGGAAAGATAGGAACAATCATCGTTGCCTCTTCGTCGTCCCCGCTTACTCTCCTACTAACTGCAGCTCAGATGAGGTAAAAGACTAGTTTTACAGAAAGCTTTCTGACCTCCTCCAAAGTGTTAGGCGCTCTGATGTAGTAATAGTGGCTGGTGACTTTAATGCTCAAGTAGGTAAACTAAGCGAAAAGGAAAGACACATGAGTGGATCTTATGGCGTCATGGCTCGAAGAACAGATAATGGTGACCGTCTATTACAGCTATACTCAGATAACCGCCTGTTTCTTGCAGATACTAACTTTAAGCATAAGTAAAAATATCTTTTAACATGACGACCTCCGAATTCGTACCAACGTTGGACTGCACTAGATCACATAGCTATCAACCACCGATGGAGGAGCTCGATAGAAGACTGTCACTCGTTCTGGAACACATGCTTAGAATCAGTACCTCTCAGGATTCTACTTAATGATAACCAAGCTAAGTTTATATTTCAGGAACAACTAGAAACACAATTAGGCAGTCATGTAAGTGATACCCACACTGAGGCAGCTTGGAATGATATTTGAGAAGCTGTGAAAACAGCAGTGATATCTGCTAGTAAACTCAAGTTGATGTAAGTTCCCCAACTCTTTACGAAGTTGAAAAAGCTATAGGAAATCTGAAGCGAGGAAGAGCAGCAGGCCTTGACAGGTTTACTCCTGAGATTTTCAAGGATGGTGGTTCAGTATTAGCAGTGACATTGACCGAGGTCTTAGGTAGAATCTGGGATCTAGAAGTAGCCTCATCTGACTGGTCTCAATCACGGAATGTACCAGTCTATAAGAAAGGACAAAAGTTCTCTTGTGACAATCACAGAGGAATCAGTTTGACTAATATAATGTTGAAAAACATTAGCTTCAATAATACTTCGACGCCTAACTAAAGCTCGTGAAGAGCAGACTAAAAAAATCAGGCTCCTTTACGACCTGGACGTGGTTGTATAGACCAAATATTCACACTACGTCAGGTTCTAGAACACAGAAACACATTCAGACGCCCCACCATAGTAGTACTTCTCGACCTTAAAGCAGCATTCGACTCTGTTGATCGCGAGGTTCTATGGCAGTGTTTGTCATTGAAAGGAGTACGAAGAAGCACATTAACCTTGTAAAGGCTCTCTACTCGAACACAACTGGTCGAGTGAGAGCTCATGGCGAACTGTCATCAGAATTGATTACCTCAAGTGGTGTTCGTCAGGGCTGTCCACTGCCTCCATTCTTGTTTAACCTTGACATTGACGTACTTTTAGAGATAACAGTTTACTCAACTAAATTTCCAGGAGTTGCACTTTTACCGCAAGACTCACTTTTTGACCTAGAATATGCCGATGACATAGTTCTATTTGGTGAAGACGCTGACAGTCTTTTGACCACCGTAAGCAACAATGCAAGCATGTTCGAGATGCGGTTCTCCACTTCGAAATGCAAAGTGTTGCTTCAGTATTGGGTTGCATCGACACCCAAACTAATGATAGGGAGTGAAGTAGTTGAGCGTGTCGACCGCTTCACTTATCTTGCAAGTCTCATCAGCCCTTGTGGTCTGGTGTGTGGCGAAATCTCAGCACGGATACAGAGGGCTCGAATAGCTTTTGCCAACTTACGTCATTTATAGTGTTGGCGAAATATCTGTCTACCAATCAAAGGACGGGTTTACTGCGCAGCAGTTCGTTACGTCCTACTTTATGGCAGTGAAAGATGGCCGGTAAGAGTAGACGATCTTCGTAGGTTACTAATATTCGATCATAGGTGTCTTCGAAGCATTGCTCGTATATCCTGGGACCACTGAGTAAGTAACGAAGTTGTTAAGAAACGAGTACTAGGTAAGATGGCAAATCGATTGATGACATAGTGAAACTTGATCAGTTGAGATGGCTGGGACATGTGTTACGTATGCCCAACCACCAACTGCCTCGAGGTGCGATGTTTTATGGTGTAAGAGTAGGTTGGAAAGAAGCTAGAGGCAGTCAGGCCAACACATGGCGCAAATCCATTAAGTCACTGACAAGTGGACTGAGTTGTGTTGGTAGGTGTAGACTAACTAGTTGGGATCCGCGAGACGATAGCAACCTATGGTTAAAGACCTTGAATGACAAAATCGTTTGCAACAGCGCAGGTGCATCACTCTTTGTGTACTCCCAAATTCTAATCTTCTGAATTATTCATGTCTCTTTTTTTCTGTCTTCAAATTTATTTCACTAAATTATTCTCCTTGAATAACATCTTCAAACCATAATCTTTCCGATTACTGCTTACACTTTTACTACCTCTACCACCATGGGGTTTGAATCGACAATTGTATCTGTGTGCTAATTTGGTATGGCAACTCGAACTGATGTACGTACGCACGAAGTTCTACGTTGTTACTGAGTGACTGAATACAGATTTTGATTTACGATTATCCATACAATAATTCATTAAAAAACGTCCACTTATCATATTTCATCACCACTCCTAGTATTAGTTAGTAAACAGAATAATCGATATAAGGATTGGTTATGGTGTGGTATTCATTAAAACAAAAAATACAGGCGTTCATAAGGATGTGATTTATTTATTCAGGTCAAAACAATTTCAACCAGTGAACTACGGTTTCGAACCCTGCTCCATCTAATGAGGTTTGGATGATCAGTTATATTTAATATTAGACTAAGAGAATGATTTATAACCCTGGTCCCACTGCATCAATTTAGGCAACTGGTTAGTATAGTTAGCTTTCACATTCAGCACGTGGCTTGAAGGTAACTACACTAACCTGTATAGTAAATTGTCAATTTGCAAAATATTCATGCATCAAACCAAACTGGACTGTTTCTGTTGCAAACACCAATCCATTGTCTACCATTCCATTGTTCATGCGTTTTCTTACAAATTCCATTGTGTTTTCGCTCTTCATTTTTTGATCTTCCCCATTTTCTGCTGCCTGACATCATGTTCTTTTAACTCACATTATATACTACTTACATCAATATAAGTAGCTCACAACACAACACATATTTGTCAGCTCAGGTTGCCATATAACATAATCACACAGAGATAGAATTATTAAGACAAATATCAGCATTGTAGAAGTATTGACAATATCATTAGTAACCAAAAAGATTAGGTGTAGAAAAGAAACAAAAAGGTATAGGATTTAGAGAAAATAAAGTGTATGAACCTGTGCCACTGAGCACGAGTCGGAGCCATATCACACAGTCTGTAACCATTGGTTTCGACACTCGCCCCGACTTCAACCAGATAATATGCACCTACCTACACGACTCAATGCAACGGGTTAATGACTTTATGGACTGATAACACGTTCTGGTTTGGTCTCCCCTAGCTTTCTTTCAGCCTACTACACCAGACAACATTGCCCGTCGAGACAGGCAGTCGTTGTAATCACCTCAATTGATCAAGATACACTACCTCATTAACCAATGACTAGTGTTCCGACACAGATACAGATTGATTTGATATCCATTTTACAAATAGGATGGGAAAAAAATCAATAAAGAACAATTATCATTTACAGCTATTCAAGTCACTGAATAATAATGAAACTGGTAAAAATCTGTTTTTATAACAATAAAACTCATAAATTTACTGCCATACACAGACTTGCTCCTTCTGGAGTGATTGTGAATCCAGAAGCCTTTTCAACGATTAATTCCTTTAGTTCTCCACATGCAGGATTATCTATGGAACCCTTAGCTTTGATTTCTTGTTGAATTTCTATACTTTTCACTTCATCAATATTTGATTTGTTATTATTACTGCTTAGTGAGAATCCAAATATTCTTCCTAATAGAGATGATGATTTCTTTGTATTTACTTCGACACCAGATTCTTTATAACTCTGTCCATCAAAAATAAAGATGGTTATTTCAAAGAAATTTGTTGAATAATAACCATTTTGACAAACATTAGGAAGCAATTTAACATTAGACTGGATTGAGTGAAATTAGAACTTACTTACTTACTTACTTTCGCCTGTTACTCCTAATGAAGCATAGGCCGCTGACCAGCATTCTCCAACCCACTCTGTCCTGGGCCTTCCTTTCTAGTTCCATCCAATTCTTGTTCATTTCTCTCATGTCCATTTCCATTTCTCGGCGTAATGTGTTCTTTGGTCTTCCTCTTCTCCTTTGGCCTTAAGGATTCCATGTGAGGGCTTGTCTTGTGACGCAGTTGGGTGCTTTCCTCAGTGTGTGTCCTATCCAGTTCCAGAGCTTCTTCCTGATTTCTTCCTCCGTTGGGATCTGGTTTGTTCTTTCCCACAGTAGGTTGTTGCTAATCGTGTCTGGCCAACGGATATGAAATATTTTGCGTAGACAATTGTTAATAAACACCTGTATTTTCTGGATGATGGCTTTCGTAGTTCTCCAGGTTTCTGCCCCATACAGTAGAACTGTCTTGACATTTGTATTGAAAATCCTGACCTTGGTGTTGGTTGACAGTTGCTTTGAGTTCCAGATGTTCCTCAGTTGTAAATATGCTGCTCTTGCTTTGCCGATCCGCGCCTTCACATCTGCATCAGATCCACCCTGTTCATCAATGATGCTGCCCAAATACGTAAAGGTTTTTACATCTTCCAAATCTTCTCCGTCAATTGTGATTGGATTGGTGCATTCTGTGTTGTATCGGAGAATCCTGCTTTTCCCTTTGTGTATATTGAGACCTATTGTTGCTGAGGCTGCTGCTACACTGGTCTTCTCCTGCATTTGTTGTTGCGTTTGGGATAGAAGGGCCATATTATCTGCGAAGTCTAGATCGTCCAACTGCATCTTAGATGTCCATTGTATCCCGCGCTTCCCTTCAGACGTTGACGTCTTCATGATCCAGTCGATCACCAGGAGAAAGAGAAAGGGTGAGAGTAAGCAACCTTGCCTAACACCGGTCTTCACTTCGAACGACTTTGTCAACTGTCCTCCATGCACGATTTTGCAGTGTAATCCACCATAGGAATTCCGTATGATATTGACTATCTTCTGAGGCACGCCGTAGTGTCGAAGAAGTTTCCATAGTGTTGTTCTGTCCACGCTATCAAATGCCTTTTCGTAGCCAATGAAGTTGATGTAGAGCGATGAATTCCATTCAATTGATTGTTCCACAATGATCCGTAGAGTTGCGATTTGGTCTGTACACGATCTATCCTTACGGAATCCTGCCTGTTGGTCACGAAGTTGGGCGTCTACGCAGTCCTTCATCCTGTTTAACAATACCCTGTTGAAGACTTTTCCCGGTATTGAGAGAAGAGTGATGCCCCTGTAGTTATCACACTTCGGTATTTTGATCAGAAGTCCTTCTTTCCAGTCTGTTAGTAATTGCTCCTCATCCCAAATCTTATTGAAGTGAATGTGGAGTATTCTTGCAGTTGCCGCTACTTCTGCTTTTAGTGCCTCTGCTGGGATGTTGTCCGGTCCTGCTGCTTTGCCACTCTTGATTTTTCTGATGGCCATGCTGATTTCTTCAATTGTTGGTGAGCCAACATTGATTGTGAGGTCCGTGGGTGCTGCTTCGATGTTGGGTGGGTTCAGTGGAGCTGGTCGATTCAACAGTTCTTTGAAGTGTTCTACCCACCTGTTTTGTTGCTCTTCAATGTTGGTGATTACCTTGCCTTCCTTGCTTTTCACTGGTTGTTCAGGTTTGCGGCGATTTCCAGAGAGTTTCTTTGTCGTGTCACACAATTGTCTCATGTCTCCTTCTCTTGCAGCCTTTTCCGCCGTCGTTGCTAAATCTTCCACATATTTACGTTTGTCGGTTCTGATGCTCCTCTTCACTTGTTTGTTAACTTCTGTGTATTCAGCTTGTGCCTTGGCTTTTTCTGCTCTTGTTCGACTGGTATTGATTGCTGCCTTCTTGTTCCTCCTTTCTTGAATCTTATCCAGTGTATCAACAGTGATCCATTCCTTGTGATGGTGCTTCTTTTGACCCAGGACCTCATGACATGTTGAAGTGATTGCCTCTTTGATCCCCTTCCAGTTGCTCTCCACAGTAGTTCCTTCTCCATTGAGTAGATCATGAAAGGCCTGGAACTTGTTGCTGAGGACTATCTTGAATTTGTTGAGTTTGTTAGTATCCTGGAGAAAGGCCGTATTGAACTTTTGTGATATTGTCCGCCCCATTGTCCAGTGTTTCTTGAGTTTCAATTTCATCTTGGCGACCAGCAAGTGGTGATCTGAGGCTATATCAGCTCCTCTCTTGGTTATCACGTCCTCCATCGTCCTCCTGAACTTTTTGTTGATGCAAATATGGTCGATTTGATTTTGCGTGGTGTGATCCAGTGAAGTCCATGTGGTTTTGTGAATGCGCTTATGTGGGAATATGGTGCCGCCTATGACCAGCTTATTGAAGGCACATAGGTTTGCAAACCTCTCACCATTTTCGTTTCTTTCTCCCAGTCCGTGTTGTCCCATGACGTCTTCATATCCAGTGTTGTCCACTCCAACCTTGGCATTGAAATCTCCCATCAGAATGGTCAGGTCCTTTGTTTGGCACTTCTCGACGATTGGCTGCAGCCTATCGTAGAATTGATCTTTAGCGTCTTCATTGTAGTCGTTGGTAGGCGCATAGCATTGGATGATGTTCATTGAAATACCCTCTTTCTTTGTTTTGAAGGAGGCTTTGATGATCCTTGGTCCATGACATTCCCATCCTACAAGTGAATTTTGTGCTTGTTTGGACAGCATCAATGCAACTCCTTGTGTATGTGGGGCATTTTCTTCTTTAAGGCCGGAGTATAACAGAAGCTCTCTTGAAGTTAGTCGTTGTTGTCCAACTTGCGTCCAGTGTGTTTCACCGATCCCAAGCACCTCTAGGTTGTATCTCCTCATTTCTGAAGCAATTTGGAAGGCTCTCCCGGTGTCTCACATTGTACGAACACTCCATGTACCTAAATAAATGGTTGCTCTGGTTGTCAGAAGGGTCATCGGCCTCGTAACTTCCGAAGGAACTCGGCTTTCATCATGAGGCGTCATAGTTCTTTTAAATGAAGACCTTCTGACTCCCAGGGCAGAGTTTAAAAGGTTTGAATAATTTTTTCTGGTTAGCGTTTTTTTAGCGAGTTAGTTTTCACGGAATGGGGTCGCTAACCCCATGCCCAACCCTCCTCCTTTATCCAGGCTTGGGACCGGCAGTAGCCCGCGGAAGGACTCCAGGCGAAATTAGAACTGACAGGGAAAAATTAAAAGCTAACTATAGTACGAATTATATTATTTATCACTGAGTTCCTGAGTACAAGAAAACGAAGCATTATCATTGAAATTCACTTAACTGACTTATTTTCTAGTATTTAGAGAATATTTTGTTGCAATAATCGTTAAATTAATAAAAACAGTTGATTTCTTGGTTTTTATTTGATAAAACATTTTCATGTATCACCAGTCAATATGTTAATAGAAGTCAGTCAGTCAGTCAGTCAGTCAGCTACAACATATATGCATCGGTCCAGGTTGCCAGACCGCATTAGCACAGCAAGATCAACACCGGATTCATAGAAGTGGTTAATTCAATGGTGGTAATATATAAAAGAAAGATTGCATATAAGGACATAATACAGGAAGAAAGAATTAGTTCATAGAAAGAAAGATATGAAGCGATTTTAATCTCTTAGTTTAAGGGAAGACAGAGAGTGTATACACCGACGCCATTGTGACCGATTCTGAGCCATGTCACCAAGAGTCTCCAACCATTGGTTACGATAGTCACGCGGACCCCAACCAAGTAGTCTGCATCTACCAACATGGCTCAGACTAGAGGTTAGTGACTTCAAGCACTGATGCCAATGTTAATAGAAATGAATACAATAAATTGAGGTGATAACATACGTATTACTAATGATTATCATAGTCAAACTAATTTATAAAAATAAAAGAGGAAATTAATTGTCGCTAGTTTATTAACATTAAATACTAAACACTGATGGCAAAAAAAAACATTTGACTGAGGGGAAAAACTGGACTATTATATTTCGTCATCGATAAGCTAACTATGCCATGTTAAGCTGTTATAGGTAGACGACAGGAAACCCTGGACCTAGATTTCGTGCCAATTTCAATCTTGAGGGAAACGGTGCTCCGCACACGATCTGAACACAAGTTACTAGGTCACAGTTTAAGATATAGTGATGAGCCGTTTATACGGCGACTGACTTCAGATAAAACTAGGATATACACATCAGTTCATCATTAAGTAGTAATCAATCTTGTGCTTGTCTAGTCCTTGGTTCTGACTAAATTCCAGTTCCTCTTATGTAACCACTACAATCTATCAGTATTAGTAAGTAGGCGTCTAAATATGATAAGGTACTTACCATTAACTTCTTCTCCCAACATTTCGAACATCCTGTACAAATTGGAGTATAAGTAAGGCGAGCGAATTTCACACGACTTTTTTCCAGCTTTTTTTCAGATATAGTGACTGGAGAATCTGCGAAAAAATTCAATGAAGTTTTAGAATCACTATGAGGATATATTTGAGCATTGTTTTCAGATGATCGAAGCCAATACCAAGTAGATCTCCACAATGCACCAAAATTACGACTCCAAGATCTAGGAGATGAAACTGAAAGTGTTGTGAGTACACCACGGTGATCGTTAGGATTTGTTGGCTTTTTATGCCTATCACTAACACCACAACCCCCACCAAGTTCTATATCTCTCCAAATATTCCATTCAATACCTAATAAAGAATAAGTATTCGCAGATGACGCCTTTGATTGTTCAATTGGTTGACTATCCTATTTGAAAAGTTATAAACAAACGATTTCAAAACATTATGTGTCACCTAAATAAAATGATTTCGATGTAAAAATTACATGATAGGTAAGAAATGTGTAAAAAGAATGATACTTCGTAGATTAGATTGATTATTTCAAAAAGCTTTTTAAATGGCATAGATCACTTTGTGATGTAGCCAGGATGAATACGGAATTCAGACTGAAGGCATATACCACCAAGTGTGTTTACACAATAAGTTGAAAAGATTTTCCTTTGTATTCTCATGAGGTTTAAGAACAAATACTAATAATTACTGGTACTAATCAGTTGATTTACAAATAATTTAGTAAGCCCATTGTTCATGAAGATGATGAAACACTAGTTAACATATGCCTCTAATATTTCAGCTTTTCTAGATTATTTTAATTTATCTACATTTTACTTCTTCTCTTAACCAATGAAGGAGACTATTTCTATCTTCTCCTATGCTTGGCTAACTAGAGTAAGAAATTCAGCTGTTGTAGAGAAGCTTTTCTGATTGAGATCCAGTAGAATTCAAAATACATTTAAGAATACATTTAGAATATTCTATATTGTTGAATAACAAGTTTTGACAAGGATTTGAGATGTTGGTTACATAAAGTGTAAAAGTACAAGCCTACGTCTGACATAATAAATGTCTGAGATAGACTCAATTATACAGCTTAATACGAACATAGTTAATTGTATCACATGACATTTGGGTATACGTACGTTTAATTTCAATGTAATAAATAAAAGCCTACCATTTATGTACCAAACATCAAAATGATCCATTTCACTTTATTGAAACATGGTGCTCTATCTTCAATTCACTCATGATCTCAACTATTTAAATAAAAAAATGGGACTACCATTCACGTGATAGTGATACATTTATACGTTTTATAAAATGTCTATATCAATTAATGTGGCACTTATCTGTAACAATGTTACATGCAAAATGTAATAAGAATGTTTCAATATAGTGAAAGGGATTATTTAGACGTTTGGTAAATAAATGGTAGGCTTTTATTTATTACATTGACATTAAACGTACGTATACCCAAATGTCATGTGATACAATTAACTATGTTCGTATTAAGCTGTATAATTGAGTATATCTCAGACATTTATTATGTCAGACGTAGGCTTGTACTTTTACACTTTATGTAACCAACATCTCAAATCCTTGTCAAAAAATGTTAAGCCCAATTGACGAGTATAATAACTCATTCACATGACTACTTACATAGACAAGTATTTTTCGTCATAATTTTAAACAGCTCAACTACAAAGGATGTACAGGTAAAAACAATTAACGCTTTTAATGGATTAGCAAAATAAGGCAATTTACACTCCTGCATTTATTTATGACACCATTTTTCCGGCGAAACTAAACAACTCTTTTCTACTAAGACTTACTGTTTGGAAAAGAACCCAATCACATAAATATTATTTGTTACTCTCTGAGTAAAATGAAGTTGGTTTACATTTCGATTAAAACTCGGATGGAACAGTCAGACAGAATTGTTCTTTTTTATTGGAATAGTTGAGATCATGAGCGAGTTGAAGCTAGAGCACCATGAAAAACATGTTAGTGTCTAACTTCAAGTAATCCACGAAATTTTTATAAATCTCAATTGATTATATTGCTTAATCACTAAGGCTTAATTAGAATTCATCAATGTTGGTTCAGTTAACCTTTCCTATAGAAATGATGTCGTTGTACTAGTGAACTGGTAGTACTACATTCGTCTATCGTAACTATATGATAAAACACTGAGACATTCTGAATAAGTTTTGCATGTACTATTGTTAGACAGATAAGTGTTCATTAGATGACATTTCCTATACGAAATCGTTTACTTAAACCGTGTATTTGACAAAGCTTAAAAAGCGTTTACGAATACATGGACGATAATCACATAATGATTATTAATCTTAAATGAATTTTGATGGTTTCATCACTTGACCTTTGCCATGGAAATAAGGAATTGAAATAAAATAATTGAAATCACATTGTGGGTGGCCCTGAAAAGGGCCTTTACTCGTTCTCTTAACAGTTCCGAATTTCATGAAAAAAGGAGTTGTTATGATTCCGTTATAGCGCCGCACATGGGACAGTGGATTCCATGGACATGTGGTGATGGATGATAAGCACAAAATAAATGAAACATTGCTTCGCATCGACAAAAAATCTAGGCACTTCCATCAGCAAGATGAAAGAAGGACGTTGAGTGTTCACGGAAGTCCTTTATGAAAAGTTATGATAACACTAGTCAAATTACCTCCTTCGATCGATAATAAAAATTGGTCGTCTATATTAACTAATTAGCTTTGATGGCTCGTTAACAAGCTTTAATAGCATTTACATGTTTAAACACCAAGCTCTAGCAACTATGACCTGTAAATAACGTAAATATACATTGATTAACAATGCTATCAAGGACTAAATAGTTATCTAGATCTAATTCTTAGTGTTCCTTCAATTAACACTTCATCCTGTTTTAGACTATGCACTATCCTATAATATATTTTCTTCCGACCACTGCCGGCCTAATTTCATATTTTCGAGTTACATTGCCAAACAAAAAGGATGACACTACGCCAAAAACATACGGTGAGTTTCAGCTATAAGTTTTCTGCAATCATAAGGTCACTTTAGATGGCTCGTTCAGTGGCAACCACTCAATTATCTGGATTCATTCAATTGTTCTGATCCGAGCGAGTGGCAAAAACGTCAACAACATCAAGCACCCTGGAATTAATTGTCATACTGCTATATTTTATTCTGGATGCTTTTGGATCATTACTACTCCTCACGAATGGCGTTATATATGTCGTCCACTGAATAATCTAATTTTCAAAAATAATTCAGGCGAGTTCAATCATTTTACTGGATGAATTTTTGTACTTAACATGTATATGTTTTTCAGTTGCTTCTGCCATATATTTGTAAGTGTCCCTAGGCTAAATGCAGTATCTTCTTATGGAATGTTTATAGCGCGTCATATTCCTGCCTGAAGTTTCACAAGCAGTCTTAACTTTAAAATTATTTTTCTGGTCATGTTCATTATTTTTAAATTGTTATATACGTCAAGAACATGCATGTTAACCTGACCCGTACAAGCATTACATTATATCTTCATGTCTTCTAAATTTATAAATCAATAAACCCATCATAGTCGTTGTTGCTAATCATATCTAGGTTTATGGATTGGTTTATCATATTAGCAGCCTAAAATGCGAACATAGTTTAGATAACAAGATTGAAAACTTACGTACTATCAACTGCACTAGTAAAATAACTAAATTCTCAGGTAGTTGTTGGCTAAACAAACGTTTAAAATCAAAACTCTGGAGCCTACCAGAATTAACACTAAACGAATCTTTCTGAATTAAAATTTATAATTAAATTAGGCGTCTCGGATTCTTTAACGTTACAAATTTCTGGTAATTTCGGATCACCTAAAGCAACAATACCTATTTTTCCACTGACTAATCCTCAATCAACACTATAACTAGTTTAACATAATAGTTTCAGGATATCGTCATAAAGCATTGTCATGACTTGACAATCACGTAATATGATTGATAAAATTAATGAAACTATTAACAAAATCGGTCAGCAAATTGATTTACAATTATCACTAGTGTTGTTTTTCTTTTATCTTCATTCTAGAAAGATTATTACAGTATGTTTCTCTATCAGTTGCTCATTCAGTAAATATCTCAAAACCTTGTCAGTCTAATTGATGAATTAGCGACACAATCATGCATGCAAATAATCAGTATAAGCAGTCGAGAGAATCTCCTGCAAACTGAAAATATCAATGTCGAATTCACGCGAGTACTGACTAAGGTTCAAGCCATTATCATAGGCATGAGTTGCGAGTGTACTTCCTTTGGTTACAACTTATGTTCTCTCTAATAATCACATGAGCATCACCCACTGTTAATCATCTTGTCAAAACTTATTTAGCCGAATACATCTTGCAGCACGTCACCTAGTAATGTAGCATATAGACTTAACTGATTTCAATAACTTATAATCACTATATCTCGATTAAATCGTATTCCGCCTTATGATAAACTGTATGCTTGCAACTAACTTGTATGCACCATCAGCCTGCAGGTAAAAATATAAATAAATAGTTTGTGGCAACGCAGAACATTGAGTCTAGAGCATGTCTCTTACCAATACACTCATGTTCAACGACTTGTTCTTAGCTATCTGTCTAAAATTCGCATAATCATCACTCACGTATTTAAATTTTGTTGTGATAACCATTCATGCGTATTAGTAGTGCTACTAAATTCTATCACGGTCAAGGTTGAGAAAATCTCTCCGTAACTAAATAAACCGCATCAAACTAACTGGAACACTAGTTGGAATTCTTTTCCACGGTAATACTTTTGTTCTTTCAGTTAGCCTACTAAATTAGATGCAATTGGAAATCACATGTGAACAGGTTACCGGCATAGTCGTAATTTGATTTCAGAATTTAAACCAAAACTAATACCAATATTAACATTTATATAATATTGATTGTTATTAATATATCTCAACAGAAAATACCTACTACCTATAAGTTAAGCATTAAACCGGACATTTTAAAATTATAACATGTATTTCCTGACCAAATACTGCCACCATTTGATTTATCTTTCAGCTTATCAATACCCGGAGGATTCCTACTATTCTTGGTAACCTCCGGCACGCGACAACCCTATTTAATTTGGTATCGAACCAATATCACGTTGGTTCTGGTGGGAGAGTAGTGTAGTGGCAGTGGACCACGCGGCCATGTGAGAGCATTTCTAGAGAGAGGGAGAGCGGACTTTCCCCACTCTCGGCTGTACCAGGGCATTTGGGGGCATCACCTCAGTCGGTGAAGATTCGCAACTTCATCAACCGATTTACCATCATTCCCTAATACCCTGTGTCTAACCTCACTATTACTTACCCGGTGATCCATCAGTGTGTCTATGATGAAGTTAAACAAAAGTGGAGAAAGTGGACAGCCTTGACGAACACCACTCGAGGTTGCAAAAGCAGATGACTGTTCGCCATAAGCCCTGACTCGACTAGTAGTGTTCGAGTAAAGAGCCTTCACAAGGTTTATGTAGTTCTGAGGTACGCCTCTCAATGACGGACACTGCCACAGAACCTCTCAGTCTACAGAGTCAAATGCTGCCTTTAAGTCAAAAAAGACCACCATTGTCGCACGCCGATAAGAATGCCTTTGTTCTAGAACCTGACGAATGGTGAATATGTGGTCGATGCAGCCACAACCAGGTGTGAAGTCAACCTGATTTTCTCGTGTTTGCAGTTCACACGTCATTGTTATGTGCACAATAATTATTGAGGCTAGTATTTTAGATGCTATGTTAGTCAAACTAGTCCCTCTATGATTGTAACAAGATGATTTTGGGACAATAAGTGATCGCGACTAGTCAGATGGGATAACGTCTAACTCCTAGATCTTAGCTAAAATATTAGTCAGCCTAATCATCAAAATTCGACCACTATCCTTAAAGACCTCTGGAGCCGATCCATCTGCTCTTCCTCGTTTCAGATTAGCTATAGCCTTCAGCTAGAGTTGGGTGACCTACTTCAATGTTTTATTCACGCTGCCTGGGAATGTTGAGCAATTGTAGAGTATCTGAAGGCCAGATGAACTGTTCTCTAAGGTGTTCCGCCCATCGTTCTAACCGTCTGGGCTGGGAGCAGATAAGTGTCGTCCTTTTCCGAGATAGTTCCACTTACTTTACGTTTTGGTTCCAGTTTCTTTTATGAATCTGAAGAGCTGTCTTGTGTTACCTATAGCCGCCGCCTTTTCCATCTCTTTTGATTTCGTTGCCCATCACTGCTCACGGTCGTTCCTTAGACTTTTTCTTAACCTATATCTGATTCTCTTTCGTTCATCATCGTGTTCAGAGCCTGATGGGATGAGCTTACGAGAACCCATCAGTGCAATAGATTTAGAAGGAATCCATTGGTTCTTTGTAACCCTTTGGTTTAAATCACTAATAGCTGTCCCTGCTGTTTCCACAGCTGTTTGTATATCTTAACTAAGTGTGACCTCAGTTGTTCCTGGAATCTACTTTCGGCTTTCTCGTCACTCAATTTAATTCTAATGAGTCTTTTTAATGTGGCTTCTCTTCGACCAGTGAGGTGAAAGTAGATGCGTGCCCTTATTAGGGCATGGTCGAAGTCCAAGCAGGCATTCCAGAACGAGCGACAATCTTCTACCGAGCATCTCCATTGATGACTGATGGCAATATGGTCTATTTGAGTCCATCGTTGGTTTGGTGCAGGGGGTCGCTATGTTATTATCTAAATACTTTTTCAAATGGGTGTTACCATTTAGTTGTCAGAATATCTTTCGTGTTACTTAAATAAAAGTTACATTAAAAATGTATACTATGTCCAAATTCAAGTTATTTACAAGACAACTCATAGACATGCTACACAATTCAGTACTATCTCACGGCTCTTGTATTTATTTAACATTCCAGACATTTACTTATTAGCTTAAGCCAATGCAAATAGCTTCGTTAGGTGATTTCAGTACAACGTGATTTCTAACAGGCTTATTGTTTGATCCCTGCCGGGAAATCAGGTTGGTATTTTTCCTTTCTAGTCAGCTGCTTTAAGCTTCACTTGTCTCCATTTCTCTTTTATCGTGAAATTCAAATTAATTGCATGGTGATGGTGCAACACTAAACTGGTGACCATGATAGAGAAAAAGAAAAAACGTTTGTTTAAAACAATATATGACAATAAAACCAACAAATATGTTAAAACCAATAAAACAAAATGTGTGAATAAAGTGCAAAATCATGAAATGTGCAAGATAAAATGAAAAAATAAATACGAATTATGGTGTTTACCATGAACCACATTATATTGTGTGGTTATTTAACAGATAACTTAGTTAGTTAAGATGAATGATGATGTCATCATTTACCCAACTTCTGTTGAGGATATGTCAGCCCTGATGTACGGCAACCATTCATCAGGAGGTTTCACCATGAACAAGAATGTCTCAATTAATGATGCAACTTCAATCAATGTTTTATTATCATTCTTGTATGATAATGCATCCTCTAAAGGCCTGCCAATCACATCCCAATTGATTGGAGGTTCCAGCACCCCATATTCCTTAAGCTTGTTCTCAACCTCTTTGACAAGAATTTTGGATGACCGCAGTGCTGCTTGTTGGTAACATTTCAAGTTACTCAAGGTGCGTTTCTTGTCACCAATTACACTGTCACGTATAACAGCACTTGCTAAACTTAGGATGTTAGCATGTTGGCTGAATGAATAGGCCATATATCCCATTAATGGTGAACATCTCAACAAACAATGTATGTTGTCAAGGCATGGTCTATTAGCAAGACGCCTTGTCTTGTGGAGCTGAATGGTGCATGAGATGAGGCAGATAGGGAAGCACATTGCAACCCTTGAGAGTGTTATTGTTCTGCGCCTGTCCATTCCTCGTAAACTTGGTTTCAAATTATATTTCATTATAAGATTGTCTAGGATGGCGACACTCTCTTTAGACATACTCATTCTCATTTTTGAAATATTATTGCCCCAGATCATGAATATTGTCAACATGTCTTCGATATCTTCCAACAATTTTTCACGTGTTCCTGATTTGTTGCACAGGTAGGAATAAATCCATTCTGTGTCCACACCTTCATATTGAAACAAATTAACCATGGACATGTCCACAGTCCAATTAAAAGCTTGTCTATTAAAAGCCACTCTAGTTTCTTGAAATTTATCGTATTCTTCAATGATCAAATTAGGATCTTTACACTCCTTCAATCTCTTAAAGAACTTCTCGGGAATCACTTCATTTGGTTCTTGAATTGTTACATCAGATTTTCCTGATGTGCTGGCCGTACTTTGATCCAAGGACTTGTTTCCTGGTTTCTCTTCAGCTGCTTGAATGGAATTTGAAAGCTGACATAATTTAAGAGGGTAAGTGGGGGGAAATGAGTGAATTAAAAGTTGGTTTAAGAGTTACATTTATCTATTTATATTGTGTTATATATATATATATATATATATATATATATATATATATATATATATACATTTATGTCAACTGTTTCACACTATTTCTTATCTCAATGTAAAATTCTATTACATATTTTGGTTGTAAGCAGCTGACGATAAACCTCCAAATATTATGAATTCATACTATTCTGCATCAACATTTGTTCTTGCTTTATTTAAATTCATAAAAGGAACTAATTGCATGAGACTTGTTTCCTTTTGGAACAACAGGTTTGTTGGGCACGGTTGATTTATATATCTCGTTTTAAATTGTATGGAAGGTGCTGCTTATCGTTACCACTGATTTGCTCCGTTGATTGAAATGTCTGACTGTCGGTGTAACCAAGTAAGCTATTTTTTCATAGATTTAATATAATGGACACCAAATATTTACTTTGATTTGAACACATAAATATTGGTGCAAAGGGGGCACCGAATACAATATGCACCACAACATTTCATCATATGTGTGTGTGAGCTGTGATACTGCCCGGGTGCCCAGACCGAAGCAGGTGGTTTTCTTAGGAGGCCACACCCCGAGCCTTTGACCTGAAGGTATGGCACACAAGGCAGTGGAGCGTCGTGAGGAGATGCATTCCCATGGTAGCCGGTGACCAACGACTGGTTCATACGCCATTTGTTCCCGCAGGATACTGGAGCCAGCCCATGTGCACCATTGGTTCGGGGTCCTGTTAAAACATCGGACATTCGCTTTTCGTCTTCTCATTTTCGTAAACAAAACCCCCGTCACGAGAAGGCAGTCAGTACGACTTCCTTGTCAGAGGCTGTATACGCGTGGCCGTGTGAGATCATTTCGAGAGCGAGGGCGTGCCCACCCCACTCACAGACATACCAGGGCATTTCGGGGCGAATTCGTCCTGTAAATTTTTTTTATTGCACTTATTATATCTATGGCCTAATGTTCATTTCTTTACGTTTATGATATAATCTTCATCTGCTGTCCATTCATATATGGTTGATTCATAAAAATATGGCATTTGAAAATAAAGTGAATTGATCGATAGAACTGAAAACAGTTTTAGACATCAGGGTAAAATAAAAATTTCAGTAAGAAATTGTTATCTGCAAAACATGAAACTAAATTATACTCGCCCCCGAATGACCTGGTAAGGCGGAGGGTGGGGAGAGTCAGCTCCCCCTCTTGAAATACTCTCACATGGCAACATCAATACAGCTATTGTCAGGGAAGTCTTACTCACTTCCTTCTCGCAGCGGTCGTGTTGTTTACCAAAGTGAGAGGATGAAAAGCGAATATACAGTGCTTTAACCGAGTTAGCGAATATGGAGGATACATATAGGAGAGTTGGAAAACCCTGATTCCAAACCAATGGTGCACATGGGCTGGCCCCAGGGTCATGGAGGAACGAATGCCGTATGCACCTATTTTTGGTCACCATGTACCATGGGACTGCATCTTCTGACGTTGCCCAACTGCCTTTTGGGCTAGACCTCTAGGTCAAATGCTTGGGGAGTGACCTCCTAAGAAAACCACGTATTTCGGTTTAGGCGCCCGGACAATATTCCGATCCTTGCAAAAATCGAATGTTGTGTTACGCATACATATTTGCTGCCTACTTATATATCAGTGTGTCTTAATAAATAAGTAATAAGTAGACGAAAATACAAATATACTTGACAAGACTATAATTTATGGACGAACCAATCAGGTTTAATGTAGCTGGTCTTGGATTTCGGGGCGAAATTCATTCATACATATGACTAAATAGCATTTTAACATTATAGCCGACGTCAGTTCGCATTGAAAACCCTAACTCTGATTTTTAACCCTAACTTACAATTTTAAGTCCCAATTATAATTCCAAACACTAATTTATAAACCTCTTTAGACGCTAGCTAGTAGATGAAGTATTTTAAGTTCACCTTCACATTGCTCAAAGACTGTCCACAAATCAAATTTCCACATTAATCTTCATTTTGCGTTGAACTATGTAACCCATCCAGTGTTAACACTGAATGAGCGAACTCCCCTCATCCCCCATTGCATAATGAAAAATGTCAATTTCCATCCCATTTTTGTTAAGGTCAAGACTAAAAAGGCCAATTCTAGAACTAATTATACGTAGCGTTACCATTATATGAGGACCTTTCTGAACACAAATCGTGTAGCAATTTCACCGACGTAATTCCTGATGAAAAAACCTGTCCATATATCAAAACAAAAGCCAACCCAACTAAATAAAATTGTCCTTTACCAACACAAGAGAGATTCAATCCAATTTCCCAGATTTATTGAAAATTTTATCATCAGACTTGGGGAAATGTGCATAAGAACTGCGAAACTAATTCCGATTCAGGATTTATTCTTCAGAAATTTTCAAGGACATTTCAGATTCCCATGATATGCCCTGAAAATTTACTCAAAGTTGAGGAACTCATCACACGAAGCAACGAATTATCCGAAACACTTAACACTTCATACAACAGACAAATCATATCCGCAAGTCAAGTGATGAGCTTTCGAGACGCAAAAGACACCATAAGTGGGGAAAAAATACTACAAGTGCGCATGCTGTCTAAATATTAAAATCACATAAGTGAGTCGAAAAAATTGATACAATTTATGGCTATACATTTACAATCAATATCCTTAACCGATACCCATGTGTGTTCATGGCTAACTACGGAGCACATATAGATTCCTATATCACTAGATAAGAAAGGATCTTCAAAGTAAATGCGTGTGTCAGTGAAATACCTAAATTTAAGTAGTCTATCCTCCTCTATATCGGTGACTAAACCAGGCTGTCCATTTACTATTATAACATTATCAGGCTTAAATGAAGTTATTTTAATATTCTGATATTACATTTAATTTCCTTCTCGACTTCTATCAATTAAACATACACTACTGTTAAAGCCAGTTACCTTTTACGGTGCTTTCATTAGCAAGCTCACTAAAAGAAAGCAAGTTATGTTTTTTCATGAAAGCTGCTCGTATTTTATCCCACCTTCTGCTATAAGTCGATCTATGACAGCCAAGGACACTTGACAAGTTCATAGTCGCCCTACGTCTACGAGCTTTCTCAGTGACTTCAATTAAACTCATAGTATTGGAGTAACAAGGTGATTAGTTATAACGAATATGAAAATCGGAGAGCAGGTCACTCACCTCCATCACGTAAGTTATTTGTGATAGACATTAAATGCACGGCCATTTTTGAATTATTTTTCGAGTGCAATTTTTTTCATCCCTTTCGAAAAAACTTTGCATCCTCATCTTCCAATAATTTTCATTCTGTTTCATCCAATCAAATAGCTAGTTTTAAAACCCCAACAGACGTAAAGGCGAAAAGAGACATTTCCCCTTTATTTACACTTTCGTCCGCTTTATTTGAAATTCATTAGCCCCACGGCAATTTTTTAAAAAAAAACCCCACCCACCCTTTTTAAAAATGTTTTTTCAACCCAAAATTGCAATATTTTTCATCCCGTTTCGTCCAATCAAATGGCTAGTTTTGAAGTTCGTTTTTAATTTGTTAGTTATGTTTTGTCGGATTGTTATAAAACATCAGTACTTGTCGACGAAGTACATTTTAATCATCATTATGGAGGAGAGTGACGTGCCTAGTACAAGCGCTGTTGTTTCTCACGTAACAGAAATAGAGGAAGTCTTTTTGACAACGTTGTTTCTCGTCGCGTTCCCATCGATTGAAGCGTTGAAGTCCGCTATCACAAATTATGAAAGATCAACTTACTGTCATTATGTAGTTCGAGATTCGCATTTGTGCAGAAATGAAAACTCTTACATTAAATTTGTGTGCTGGAGACATGACCGTATAACATCTAGCGGTTCGTCACAGCGGATCAGACGGAGGAGGTAATTTTATAAATGTTATTAACATTTTTTTGTCATGAAGGGCTTCCATAAACACTCAATGTCCGGCCTTCATGTATTGTAAGATTATCGACGGCTACTGGACTGTTGTACGTGGGAATGTGCATCACAATCACGAGTGCAATTCCCTAAGGTACCAAGGAAATTCATGGGTGCGCAGGTTAACAGAGGCCCAGTTTGAAAATGTGCGACCGCTGCTAATATCTGGTACTGCTTCATTCCACATTAAGAATTATGCTTACCATTCTTATGGGAAACTACTGAATGATCAAGATATCTATAATATGCGGTACAAAGTGTTCTCACAGGCGAACATTCCTGGTAAGCCATTTGCCAATTTATAATGTAAACGATAGGTGATTACGGGAAATTGAAAGCGCACATAACATCTTTGGGTGGGCGATGCGAATACGAATTAGACGATGAGAACTGTCTATCGTACTTTTTCTTCAGCACTGGTGATCAAAAGATTTTTGCAGACCGTTTCGGTGATGTTATTGGTTTGGACGGAACATACAAGACGAATAACGAGAATATCTATTTATATCAGGTCGTAGCCCTTGATATGAATTTGAAGGCGATACCCGTTTGTATTGCATTTATAAGTCGCGAAACATCGACTTTGATTTCTCGATTCCTGTCGTTCTTCCAACGGTTAACCAACAGTCGACAGGTGGTAGGCATTGTGACAGATGATTCACCTGCAATAGCTGCTGCCATCATGCAGGTGTATCCCAATGCTCACCATATCTTGTGTCGCGTCCACCTTGTTCGCAATGTTATAAAGAGGGTAAATGTTTCGTTCATTAACATTAACCCAGTAACCTTAATTGTAGAGGGTACGATCAGAAGTGATACAACTATTTTTTCGCCTGATGTTTACTCAAACGGTTGAAAGGTAAATCAAAAGCAACATAACATTATTTTGTAGTTTTAACAATGTATTATCCTTGATCGAAATATCGGACGGAACGTTTGCCCGATATGTCGGAGACCAACTATTAGCGAGAAAACACAAATGGTCTACAGCTTTTCGACCATCAGCAACGCTACTTCAACTCAATAATACGAACTTTGTTGAGACAAATCACCGAATTTTGAAGATGCATCAACTGAGTCGAAAAACACCTGTCCTGAGATCTATTTTTAGTGTGCTACTTCGCGTTGGATATTGGATGGAAGCAAGTTTACAGAAATATACATCAGATTGCCGGGTAAAAGCCAACATCGGCCAAGAGCCAGCAATGCGTGGACTTCAGGAACGACTGACACCAGCTGCATGTCAAGTACTGAAGCGGTACCTGCGCACTCCTTTGACGGAGTTTGTAATGTCTGTTGACTTATTCACGGCCGTGGACGCAACAGGCACTTACAATGTACACCGTGATTCCATGCGCTGCTCCTGTTCATTTTCCATTGAAAACGGTTTGCCATGTCGGCACATATTGGCTTACTGTACACACAGTATGACTGATGTGAACTTACAATCAATTTGTGATAGGTGGTTACACTCTGATACTTATCTGACTCGTATTGCAGTTGAGAATTATTTCCCAATGCAATTGAGCCAGCCGAGCATGAAGAATACAGTGATTGCGTTAGTCAGGCGATTGTCTGAGGAACAATGCAGTTCACTTTATAGCCAATTTTATCAAGAACTTCACGGTAGACTACCATCAACGCCGTTGAACTTACAGGCAGAACCGCAGTTGTACACTGGAACAAGCATCTCGACTAACTTTACAACGCCGTTGATGCACCGAGGGAATGTTGATTTGGATGAAACGTTAAGTAACGACGAGGATGACGTAGTTTCTATAAACTCAGAAGAGTTAACAGAACGGGACATCCAAAATGAAGAAGATGAAGAGAACCGTTTGTGTGACATCTGTAATCTTGCACAGCCGCCCTGTGAACTGGTGATGAAGTGGGTTGGGTTTTCTGTCCTTGTGAAGCAATGTTTCATAGATTCTGTGCTTATGACCCATCACCGAACGTACGAGCAGTACACTGTCCGATGTGTGGCGCCATTACCAACTAATAGTTTGGACGTCCCACCGCGAGAACGATTATAGGCCCTTTTCAGGGCCACCCACAAATTGATTTAAATTCCTTTTTCCCAATATTGTTTTTGTCTATGGCAAAGGTCAAGTGATTAAGCACTTTTTAATGTCAAATGCATTTAGATATACCTTAGATATTAATAATCGAAAAGCGATTATCGCTCATGTATTCGTAAACTTGTTTCTAATGTATATTACATATAAAGGTTAAGAAAACAGACAAGATTTTGTCATTTAATGATCACTGATCTATCTACTACTAGTACATTTTAATAGGAATATTTTAAAATAGTGAAAATCGTAATTTTGTCGTTAGGTCAATAAGTTTATGATGACATTTATTAGTGAATATAATAAGATAATTACAAAGATGAATGTGATTAAAGCTCATTGAGAAAATTATCTTCCTTATGAATAAGATACTGACATTATAAAACAAGTTGAAGCCGTCATCATCATGAACAGTTTACGACCAATTACAAAATTATTAAAGATGACAAAATGTTTGTTCATTATCACTTGAGCACACACTTGCAAAACAAGCCCAATAATCAGCGATACCTAAATTTTTCATTCACACCCCACAATTTTTTTGAAATGGGTGGTAGGGAATCATTTTGGCCGGTCAACCTCACTATTTCATAACTTACCATCTAATTGTTTTAATGCTGCGACAGCATCTAATAGATCATGAAAGTGGACGAAAGCATAATCACGGATTTTTTTAACACGTTCAACAGCATCAATTGAATTAATTGCTTGGTTGAAATGATCCTTTACCGCATCTTCTGTTGTATCTAACATTAAATTTCTGACGTATAGTGTACGAACATATACAAAGTGAAATCAATATATATATATATATATATATATATATATATATATATATATATATATATATATATATATATATATATATATATATATCTTGCGGAATACTATGAGTAGTATAAGTTCAATTATAAAATTTAACAGTTTAAAAATCCCCATAGAATATTCAAAAACGAAGAATATTTGAGCGAACAATTGTTTTCAATCACTTCATCATCAGGCTCTACAGTTATAAGTCCATAATTATAATATTTTACAAAGGCCAAAAATAAGGCATGTTTTAATGAGTTTGACAATGTTATGTGTTAAAAATGGTGAACGTTTGCATCTGTTACGATATATATATACTTCAAGAAAAAAAAAATTGTAATATTTGCAAATTAGAAAGGTCATTCAATAAAGGTCAGTAAATTGTTCAGTCACAATAAGATAATATAATAGTACTATTGCAAAATTGAAAATAATGTTGTCAACTGAGATAATAATAATAATGTTGTGTGAATATAATATGTAATAAGGGGGGTGTTATCAAGGTAATTACGATCAACAAATTGGGAGTGATGGATATGAAGATTAAGATATAGATAATGACAAATAATGATAATAAGTAAAATAAATAAAATGAAGGAAGGGGTAAGAGGTTTATAATATTCAGTCTAGGTATTTGGTGATCTAGTCGTAGGCCAGGGTAAACATAAAGGCTGGATATATTTTTTCTGGATGCATAAGTTAGGTCTTCTGGAGTTGATCCAGATAGCTTCGGCTGTGTAAAGCAGTCGTAATCTAGCTCCTTGAGGTAGATATTTTGGAACTTGATATAAAACAGAGAAAGCTTCCTCTATTTTAATATGATGTTCACTATCCACCAAGTGAGAAAGAATGGTGCTGTTAATTGATTTGATGACTCCTTTTCCCAACCATGCTGGTACATGTTCACGAACACGCAAGGATAAAGCCCTCTGAGTACGGCCTATGTAACTAGCTCCACAGGAGCAGTTGAATTGGTATACACACATGGAGGAGCCCATCTTCGGTAACTTATCCTTGATTAGTTGTGTGAGTACTGGTTTAGTCGAGAAAGTTATGTGTAACTTGGCGGCATGAAACGTCCTCTCGACAGATCTTTTGAGTCGACGTGTTAGAATATCACCCGCTATGTCGCCTTTAAAGTCAAGTTTCAGATATAAGGTCTTTTTACTGACCGTATCGCAATGTCTTCTCTTTTTAATACTTTGTACGAGGTATTTTTTGACGAAATTATCCGGATAGCCATTATTACGTAACGTGCTCTTTAGTATAACTATTTCTTCCTCCACACTGTCTTCAGAACATAATACCTTGATTCTGTGGTTGAGACACTTAACCAAATTTATTTTATATTGCAGA